ATTTCCAAATCATTTAGCTAATCAATGGTTGACTAATCACTTGCCAAATGGAGAAGTGTGACCTACATCTATACTTTTAGCTTCATCTCTCTTGTCTCAAAGGAAGAGCAAACTCCAGCCGAATTTGGATCACCTCCTATTCTTCCTCTCTAGATTCCATTCCCATAATTACCCATAAGTACTCTTTCATACTCGAGCACCTTCAACTCCACCCTCTCCATGGCCTCCTTCCCTTCTATTGAACAACAAACAACAACTTAACTTTAACTTTGTTACCAATTCTAGCCATCATTTATATTGCCGTAGTTGCTTTGCTCAGTACCCAACTTCTTGGCCTGTGGTCTTTGCCCACTTTCTCTCCTTAATGTCACATGTTCTGGCCCCTACCTCCATCACTCTACTAAAATAGCTCTTGCTTAGCACTCTCCTCAATCCTTTCTTCTTTATAATATCTGATAATGTTGATTATTTCTACTTCTATAAATTCTTCTTGTGGGTTCTATAATCCAATTCTTTTCTAGTTTTCTTCCAGCCTCTCAGACTGCTCTTTTTCTAACTCCTCTGAAATCTCCTCTTTCTTTCCTTCTCCCTTACTGTGGGTAGCCACCAAAGTTCTGTATTCAGCCTTTTGCTGGTCTTTCTCTCACTTGCCTTTCATACTCATTATTCGTATTCTCTGGGTTTTGGCCAACAACTCTGTACTACCATCTTCTATTCCTTCTACTTTCTTCAACCCTGATTTGAATACGAATCCTTTATATCTATTTCCTAACTACCTACTGTCTGAAACTGATCTTGTCATATTCTGCAAATCAGTCCCATCCATCAGTGTGTTTCTGTCAGTTCTACTGTTATGGGTTGAATTTGCCCCGCCCCCCCACAAAAGAGATATTTTGAAGCCCTCAGAATGTGACCTTATTTGGAAATAGCATCTTTACAGAGGTAATCAAGTTAAAATGAGGTCGTTAGGGTGGGCTTACAGATTTATATGACTGGTGTCCTTATAGAAAGGGGAAATTTGGACATAGAGGCAGGCATGCACACAAGAGAGAATGTCATGTGAGCATGAACGTAGAGATTGGGGTGATGCATATACAAGCCAAAGAATGTCAAAGATTACCAGCAAACCACCAGGAGCTAGGAGAGAGGCCTGGAACAGATTCTCCCTCATAGTCCTCAGAAGGGACCAACTCTGCTGACAGCTTGATCTAAGACTTCTAGTCTCCAGAAATCTGAGACAATAAATTTCTGTTGTTTAAGGCACTTAGTTGGTGGAACTTTGTTATAGCAGCCCTAGTGAACTAATACAACCACCAACCCTGCAATCTCCTAGACTAGAAAACCTAGACTCATTCTGTGTTCTTTCTTTTTCTTCATCATCTACATCCAATCTGGCACCAAAGACTTCAGTTATTCCTTTAAAATGACTCCTAGCATCTTTAATCTCATAGTCTCTGTTGCCTCCTTTTCTTCTACCATTTTTTCTCAGTTCCTGTTGTCTTCACTCTAGTCTCAACTTTCATCATTTCATATCTAAATTCCTACAAAAGTCTCTTTTCATATCCTGCCATTATTAGTTCTCTCTTAATCCAAAATTATTTCCCAAAATATATAATTCATGTTGCTTTTATCATACTAGTGCCATTGTTGAGACATACTTATGGTGCCATATTGCTTACTATGATGAGCCTAAGCTTGGCATCCATGGTTCCCCATAATCTGGACCCATCTTGCCCACTCAATCTTTTATCCCCCTATACACATCATCTTTGAGCCCTGCTTTTTCTCCTTTCCTGTCTCTGCATCAAGATGCTTTCTTACTTTCCCTCTTCTCATCAAACCTGTTTGTTCATCTTTCAAATCCCTGATCAATTTTCACTGACTCTGACTATCTAGCCCAAGCTAATATCTCTTGCCCTTGCTGCATTCTAATCAGTACTTGCCAGGTTAGCCCCAAGTAGTATTTCTTATATTTTATGTGGATTTACATATATTACATCTCTATTTCCACCAGCTTATAGGACACAGTGCTTGTTAATTAATTGATCAAACTCCTAAAGTGGAAATAATGGTAGTTAGAGGGAGAGAAGGAAGGAGATTGTATACCAAAGGAAGAAAACTTTGACTATAACAATGAAGGAGAATTAGTCTAAGTCAATGTTTTCCAAATGTGCTCCCTGGACCTCCAGCATCTAAATCATCTGGGATGCCTGATAAAATGCAGATTCCAGAACCCCATTACAGACCTACTCAATCAGACTCTGCAGCCCAGAAACCTGACTTTTTAAAGGTAACACAATGATTGTTATACATACCAAATATGAGAACCAGCAGTTTAAATGAGGAAGGCAGAAGATATATGCTGAAAGGGAACAACTGTTCTTATGTTTACTGGGTACATGTACTTTCCGTCATGGCTAACAATAGAATAAAATAGTTTCACACTATCATGATTTATTTTGATGTGATTCTCTTTCTTCAACACATTGCTTTGAGCACAGCAGTCCTTTCTTCTATGGCAAGAGTATTTCCAGTACTGTATCACAAATATGGGCTGGCTAGTAAAGAGTTTTGAAGAACAGAAATTTTGTGGCACTCCAAGGAAAGGTAAGTGAGACTGCTAGGCTAGCTTTGACTCCTACTTTTTCTGGGAAGTAAAATTTAACCAGAGACAGAGACAGGCTCCTGGAATTCAAGCTTGGTAGCATGGAGAGAGAAAAAAACAACTCTGAAATCTAGTTGCTTAAGCTTTTAATTGGAACCAAACGATAACTAAAACATGTAGCTGATTTAGATAAAAACTGAGGACCCACTCACTGACTCACACCGAGCAGGATTTCTGCAGTTGAGTACTACAGAAGCAAGATAACAAAATTAGATATGATCCAGGGGAAGAAAAATGCACAAAAGTCCTTGAATTAAAATGAATTGAAACCTTCTGGGAGAAAAGCTATTTGGTAAGCTCCATTAAGTCTATTGTAGATAGCTTTATTTGACAAAGCAGCATCCTGGCATGTGGAACAGGAAAGAAAATAGCTATAAGATGATCTGTCAGGGAGTTTCCAGTCTCTAAACGAATAAGATTCTGTGCAGTAGCCAATACAGCTTTTAACTCAAAAGAGATACAGAAGCAAAATGCAATTACATAACCCTAGTAAGTGCATTCAATCTGAATCTCCCATACACCCCTCTCCTCCCCCAGTAACTCCTCAAACTCAGCAATTTATCAAGTGGATGCTCAAACTTATGGTTGCATTCCTTTTAGGGTAACACTGGATTAACACTATATACAACACTGTAGATACTGAGGTCAAAGATTAATAAGTCAAAGATTAATCAGCTATAAAACATCCTGGCTAACCAGTTAAGTAATCTGAATACTTCAATTATTATTAAACTCTTTTATTTATTTTGGCTATAAGTTTATAGTATGTGTTTGCAGTAATTAGTTCACTGTTCTGAAAATGCTAACTATCCACTGATTACAAAGGGTTTATTCAAAACATATGAAGGTTTATATGTTTAGGAATCTAACATATGGCAAAACTAGAGGAAACTCAGAAGTAACAGTTAACGAATACCTTTAAAAAAGGTCTGGCTTGATGGTTTTCTTTCCTTAAGAGTTTCTGTTCATGGAGTGAAGATTCTAGGACCACATAAATGGCTATAGGAGCTGCTGACTTCAATATGCAAGTACTGGAACTACGAAATTCTGATTTGCATTATAATCACTCTGTTCTCTGTCTCCATCTCTCTCTCTGTCTCTCTCTCACACACACACACAAACATATGCACAGTAGGGATAGTATACTAGCATATGTCCAAGGTCTAGCACAGTGCCTGGCATGTAATAGTTATTAAATGAATGAATGAATTCATTTAACCATCATAAAATCCCTGTTAGATGGTTTTTATAATGTACTTTTTACAAGTGTGGAAGCCGAGGTTCAGTCGGGAAGAATTTCTTCCTATGTCAAGGAGGAGAGAGCTGGGACTAGAACTTAGGTGTTCTAACTTTAGGTCCAATGCTTTTGTCTGCTATACCTTGCTGACTCCTAAGATTGTCTGGAATGGTTTACCTGAAAACACGGGTCTTTTGGCTGATATCTTAATCTCCCCATGGTAACCTCCCTCCAAGATTTTTTTTATGAAATTAAAGGGTAGTGTTGTCATATTGCTAAACCATTTTGCCTTATGAGTTCCACTGGGGATCCACACTGTGGCTTCTGTCTCACAGTGAAGTCCTGTCTATACTAGGTAAGAGCAAAAGCCTTTGCCCAGACAACTGTTTGTAGAGTTCTGTTTAGTTCCCAATAAACTCCCAAATAACCACAATGGAAGGCAGCAGCCAGGTACACTGTCATGTATTGCAGATATTGCCCTTTAGTTTGTAGATTCTCTTTTAAATTTGTGATTTTTAAGAGAAATATTCAATTTTTATGAAGATAAATTTATCAAAAATATATTTTTTGATTTCTATCTATGGTGACCTTCATCCCAAATTATATAGCCAATTCCTATACTTTCCAGAATTTCTTTTGCTATACGTATTTTTTTACATTTGAATTTTAAATCTATCTGTTATTAATTTTGGTGTAAGATATAAGAGCTGTAGGGCTCTAACTATTTTCCCTAACAGTTTGGCTAGTTACCTATTTAAGCATAAGCTCTCTTATGGCTCCTCCTGTAGAACATATTATTAATAAATCCAAAACAAATTGAGAACAATGCTGCCTAAATGTCCAGCACTACTAGGAAAAGAAAGCCCACTTTCAATTAGGCACTGTGATGGAAGATGAAGGTAAATGAAGACCACAGGAAATCCTGTAGCCACATGGTTGATATTCAGCGAGTATGTACTTATATGGCCTCACCACTTGTTTCCAGCCGGTTCCAGTCTGATGGGTTTGTGCCCATGCCTTAGTGGGTACTCACAGTTTGAAAATATCATCCCTGCAAGTGCATGTTAGTTAAATAAAATAGAGCAAAATTATCTTTACCTGATTCCTCAGTTTCTTTTGTTTCTGTTGTTTCTTCTATTTCATCATCAGACATCTCCATTTCTTCTTCTCTCCTGATTCCCATTAATTCATCATTATGTATGTTGCGAATTTCCTAAGGTTTAAAGGTATGCTTTTTAGGTGGGAAAGCCTTGGAAATGTTGAGGAAATGAACAGAGTTAAGGACAAGATAAAGCATGGTTTTTTGACATGTAACAAAACTTCAATTTTCTCTTAAGGTGAAGGCAAAGGAGCATGCTGAGGCCAAAACAGTCTCAACAGACAAGGCAGACTTTGTACACTCTGTCTTGCATAAAGCTTTCTTTCCACACCCAGAGATCTGGCAGTCAATGATTATTGTATCCCTCCCATGTTAGAAAGCACTGTTGGCCAGGAAAGACCTCACCTCTTACTCAGATGAATGTTTGCACTTTCCCTTAAGAGTTCTGCCATTTTCACCTTCCCATGTCAAATCCTTTGATTTTACCGCTTTACATTCTCTTCCCCTTCCCCTTACAGTCTTACTTGACAGAACTCTTAATCAAACTTTTGCAGGTTTAGAAGTTAGAGCAAAAAAGAGCTGTCAGGAGAGAACTTCTACCAAATCAACCCTTCCATGGATAATAACTATACTCTCTGAACAAAATACAAAACCAAACCAAACCAAACCTCTAACTACTTGATGGCATTGGAGAGTGAACAAAAGCAGGCATATTCTGAAGAGGAGCTGACACTCAGAAGAAGGGTGTGAGTCTCCCAGTTTTTTAAGGGCCTTTTAGTCTGAGACAACAGTTAGTACCTCACAGGGCAGCTAAATTTTTAATAGAAAATTCACAGTCCTTACATCCTAAATAAATCAAGGAGAGAGTTTGGGGCAACCACAGCCACTGGAAAGTGAGGAGTGGATCCCAGAAAGGAGACAGCCAAAGGGAGAGAGACCCAAATTCTATGTCTAAGATCTGTTCAAATTTCTGTATGAACTCTGAACCACAAAAGCACAGGGCAGATTCCAAACAATATAGCTAAGGCTAAAAGATCTGAACTGAGATTTGAGCTGCCACCTAAGAGAGTTTCCAGCTTAAATCCAGTGAAGTAAATTGATCATTAAGACAAAAGAAAACAAAAACCAACATTCTTTGGAAGAACATAACAGAATCCAGAATCTTAAAAGCAAAATATTCACAATATGCAGGAAAAGCCCCAAATTACTTGACATACAAAGAACTAGGATGAGATGATTCATTTTCAAAAGAAAAAACAATCAACAGAGATCAAACTTGAAATGAACCAGATATGGCAATTCGCAGACAAGGAGCTAAAGCAACTATCTCAATGATGTAAAGGAAATATGCTCACAATGAATGCAAAGATAGGAAATCGCAGCAGAGAAATAGAAACTTTTAAAAAGAACCAAATGGAAATTCTAAAACTGAAAAATACAATACCTGAAATAAAAGTAATTAGATAAGCCTAACAGTAGAATAGAGATGCCAGAATAGGAGAGAACTTAAAGAGAGAACAATACAAATTTACCCAATCTGAAGAACAAGGAGAAACTAAGTAGAATCATACAAAGAGAGGCGAGATTAAATGATTAAAAATATTTGTAAAAAATAGTTGAAGATTTATCAAATTCGATGAAATATATTAATCTACATATTCAAAGAACTCAGTGAATCCCAAGCAGGACACGTGTGAAAAAAAGTATATCTAGGAACACCATAGTCAAACTGCTGGAAACTAAACATAAAGAGAAACACTTTAACTCTTTAGTTAACTAAACTTATTGTGATAATCATTTCACAATATATGTAAGTCAAATCATTATGCTGTACACCTTAGACTTACACAGTGTTGCATATCAATTATATCTTAATAAAACTGGGAAAAAAAGAGAAACTCTTATAAAAGCAGCCAGAAAAAAACAACACATTATATACAAAGGAACAACAATTTGAATACTTGGATTTCTTTCAAAAACAATAAACGCCAGAAGTCAGAGGAATAACATCTTTAAAGTGCAAGCAAAAAGAAAAAAAATATTTGTTTATTCAGAATTCCATACTCAGAGAAAAATTCTTTCAAGAATGAAAATGAGATAAACATACTTTCAGATGAATATAAATGCAAGAATTTGTCACCCAAAGACTTGCACTATAAGAAATGCTGCAGAAAGTTCTTTGGGCTGAAGGCAAGTGCTACCAAACATAAACACAGATCTTCAGGAAGGCATGAAGAACACTGGAAATGATTAAGATCACACTGAAAAAGTCACTTTAAAAAAACGTAAGCATGAGAACCGTGCGTTCTGGAGTAGCTTGCAACCATTTAGATGCCACTTGATGCCTGTCAGAGGCTCCTCAGCACTGAATTGAGAAGTCCTTGCCTATGTTAGTCCCAATTGGGCTGTAATATAGGAAATATCCAAAGCTATCTGGCAAAAATTGTTTCCATTTAGGGGGATTATAAATATGTCAAATGGGTTTCTTAATAATTAATGCTATAGTTAATCACTATCTCAACTAATATCCTCCTTCTTATTCCTTTTATTAGGAAAAATAATGATTTCTATATCAAGTTAAGTTTTCATTAAAGATAAATAAAAGTAGCTTTTTAAAAAGTGAGCTACAGGGCCGGCCGTGGCCGAGTGGTTAAGTTTGCGCACTCTGCTGCGGCGGCCCAGGGTTTAGCAGGTTCAGATCCTGGGCGTAGACATGGCATTGCTGGTCAGGCCACGCTGAGGTGGCATCCCACATAACACAAGTAGAAGGACGTGAAACTAAGATATACAACTACGTACCGGGGGGATTTGGGGAGGTAAAGCAGAAAAAAAAATTGGCAACAGTTAGCTCAGGTGCCGATCTTTAAAAAAAAAATAGTGAGCTATTCTGTGTTATCACTGATAGCTAAGAAGCAAAAAAAAAATTAGAAATACTAACAGTATCTCTCATGTGCTGCAGGGGCATTACTTAAAATAGAAAAAAATGATGACTTACTTGAGAAAAGTGAACATTAAAGGGCTGTGTCAAGAGAGAGATTTGCGATGTCTTATTCAAACTCATTGCACAGAGAACAATAAAGGAATTGCTCATTTCTAAGAATTTATTCTATCTCAGGAGCCTGGATTTCAGTTATCATCAAAGAACTGTTACTGGAAAGGTGATTATAATGAGGTCTGACACTGGCAAATTTGAATGTTGTACAACTTACTGCATCAGGAAAAGTCATGGCTCTCCTAGTTGCCTAACAAAACTGTACACTGTCAGAGGGTATAAGTAGAGACCAAGTCTCAATTTACAAACATGTCATCTAACTCTGGGAAAGTTACTGTGCTTCTCAGAGGAGGAAATTGTGTTCCTTTGAGGGAAGTGTCCCAGGACAGGAAGATCTAACTGAGAGCTAAGACATGCCCTGTAGCTGCTCAGCATCCACAAGGCATCTTTCTGCTTCCAGCTGGGCAAGAAAGCATAACCTCTTCTTAGAAGTATAAAAAGTTCAATAACTAAGTGATACAGCTTATGGAGAGGTCTTTCACATCTTCAAAAAGTTCCTAGAAATATAACAGATCTACAGGCAAATTTTACCGCAATGCCTCAAAATACTTCGGGAACAAGACTTACCAGTTCCTTTAGCTGATAATGAAATGAGGGTAAGAAAAACTTAGGAGAAGCTTGCTCTATGTTATTCAGTCAGGTAGGCAAAGTGGCAGAACTTAGAGCCCTCTAACTACTAGACAATCCTTCTTAGCTACAAAGGAACTTAGGCCTGTATCATTACTCTTCTACAAATATCCAATACTAAGTCACATGAATGGGATAGAGGGAAAAAAGAACATCAGAGGTTACAGGGTACCATACTACAGTAAAGTTATGGAGAGCATTTAGTAAATGACAGTACCCCTCAGTAAAGCAGGTGAGATTTTAATTCTTTGGAAACCTTACCATTAAAGCACTTGATATCCAAGATATTTAACATATCTGTTTTCTGTATTCTATGGCGAATCAAAAGGTTCCGCTTCGTAAAGCAAACCCCAACAAATACCTTCAGAATGAAGGGCTAAAGAGTACCATTTACCTAAGGATGGCATTCTACCTAGCTTAGACATAGGTACAGGTAGGAGGAGAACTCTGAGTCACCGAAGTGCAGGCAGCAAGGGAAGCAGCTGCCTCCAAGATTTGCCCTTCTTCCCATCCTGACATTTGGACCCAGTGCTGAAACCAAAAGAGTGGCAATGGCATGCAAAGACATTTTACAGAAATTTTCATTTGTAAATCTCTACCTGAAATTGACTGGATCACATCACTGATAGACTACATTAAGAAAGGTAAGAGAGCCCTCCTAAAGTTTCTATACTACTCTCTTGCCCAGAGTAGACCTGTGACATTTTTCATTTAAACAGTGAAGTGTTAGTGATTTCTGAAAATGCATTATAATAACTTTGAGTCTGTTCTAATGGTAACTTTTTCTGAAGCTTAGAAATTCACCTGCTACTTCACAATGGAGAACAAAGCACTTTCAACATAGAATAAAGCTGAAACGCTAGACAGAGGAAAATGCACAAAGAGAATCACCTTTGTACCAGCTGACATTTTTGATTTATCATAAAGTAAGCAGATCATAAATCACTGCACATTAATTATCTAACTATATAGTTTCACAAAAATTTATGTGGACTTAAATTCATCGTAGTCATGTTTTATGATAGGAACATGATTATCAGAAAAGCAAAATTCCTTATTAATTGTGTAATGAAATTGTACTTACCCAGACTTTCAACATTAACAGGATACTTGGTGGGGAAAGGGTCAGATGAAGGAATGGAAAGGAGCAGAAGATAGGGAGATAGCTTCTACACTTATGTAGAAATTTGATTCTGAGATATCACTTAACACAATGAAGCAAAGCACAAACACAGGTTCTTAATCAATGTCTATTGTATGATACATAATGGAAATACAAATTAGGTTGATTCATATTGTGTTAGTATGTGTTTTGATGGCTAAAAGCCAATAGCTAGTGTTAGTACAAATGGGTCCTAAAACAAGGGTATGCAGATGACGTGAACATCTATCTGCAAACAGTTCTTCAGAGTTTGGAATGGTAGGCCTGGAAATCTGGAGAGAAAGTTATTTTAGCAATCACAGTATTTCATTTTATGAGAATGCTAGCAATCACCAAATCCCTTTTACTCTGGCCCATTGGTATGAAACCTCACAATAGGGAGGATGCCGGCGGGTATCTTCTAGTGCCCACTGCTATGGTTATAGTTTCTATATATCATCCAAGGTTTAGCTTCTAATCTAGGCTATCTTCTCAGTAAGAGAAACATGCAGGTTTTAAATGATTCTTTAGAAAAAGAGTTCCCACAACATATAGAACTGTCAGTAAAGTCACTGTGGACACTATCTTTTAGAAAGGGGAGGGACCTCAGCCTTCTCTTATTTCTCTTTCCAATTGTATCACCAGGAGCCTCACACACATATAAATCAGGAAAGCAAACCAATGAAAATGACTCATTGGCAAACTAGTCTGCCTGGCATATGCTACCAAAGGGAGTGCCTGAGCTCCTCGAAGGCGGGGTCTTTTTCTTCTTACTCCATAACTTTTCTCTCACCAGAGTAAGACAGTGTTGGCTGCTGGTAGGAAGATGACAGTGAAGACAAGGAACAAGTACTTTGTGACATGAGGAGGTCAGCAGCTGGCTTATTCCCAGAGGCAACTGGTAAAAAAGGTTCAATGTCAGAAACTTTCACCTTGATGAAACCCCAGACTTAGGAGTTGTAGCTTTGATGCTTAAGTCAAGAAAAAGCCAGTCTGGTTGATTAAGTCATTGAGATGCTCTGATTCTCGGTGGAGTGCTAAGAGGTACCCCAATTTAAAGGATAGTTTTGTCTTTTTCTACACAATACCTCCTTTTAGTCCTCAGAGTTGACTGGTATCAAGTGAAAGTATGCACAGATTAAAAAACAGACATGATTTAAAGAGGCACCACTATAAAGTAGAAGAGGTCTTTTAGGTTTAGGGAATGCAAAGCCAGAGGAGGGTCATGAGCTATGTTCCACTCTCAGTAGTTTTACTTATCAAGATTGAGGTATTCGAGGTGGACTTTAATTTAGTCCAATCCAACAGGCAGGAAGCATTTTTCTGGGTTTCTAAAAAGAATACAAGGCACATAATGAAAAATGTAGCTCTTGGCAAGTCATGCTGGCCAAGTATTTTATCCTCATCACTCTGCCAAGGAAGCTCTGATACAATATTAGGTGATGGGGCGCATAACACTCAGTTCTCTACAGACCCAGTGAAATGTATAGCTCACTGGCATAGCTAGCTTTACTGAGAAGGTAATTAAATTCAAGTATATACCCACCAGATAGGTAGGCTTGATATGACTACAGAGAGCCTTGATGAATAATATTAATGGAGAATATTATATTGCAAACCTATTTATAAAAGGGTTGTGGCCTAGGGAAGTCAGTGATCTCTTCCTCCTACGAAAAGGCAATATTTTACCAGCAGGGCTTTTCATAATGGGCAGGGCAGTTCAGGTAGCTTCTTCCACCCCCTCAAAGGGATTCATGTGTACATGTATTCAAGGGAAGGTAGAGACTGCTTTTCTACAATTGTAAGACATATTGGGCATTTTTCTCTCAATCTTTATTCTTTTGAATCATTCAAACTAAACTGAAGAGTTTGGATATTTTTAATTTAGGGTATTAAGCCCCATTCCTCCCCTTGATTACTTCTGTTACCATTCTAGCTCCCTGAGGGCAAAGACTATCTCATCCTGTGTTGCCTGTCATAATGCCCAAGACACAGAATGTGCTCAGTAAACGTTTGAACCGAAATGTTGAATTTTTTTTGTTGAGGCTCAATAACATGGGGTAGCCCTAGGATTCTAAAATCATTGTGTATTACAGTAAGACAATAGCTCCCTTTTTTGTTCTTAATTCTTTTTTAAAAAAATAATTAAAAACATTATTTGCTTTTTATGACTCTACCCATCCATTGGCTGGTGTGTCTTCACGGATTTCTCCCCAGTGACTCTCAGTTCCCTTTGCTGTATCAGAATTGATGGCTCAGAGACTATTAGTTTTATGAATAGGGTTTGGTTCTAAATGCTCTTTATGGTTTTTAAATTGTGGCCACACAAACTATGTTACGTCTTCTCATGAAGGACAGAAAGAACAGATGATTATCTTTGTTTTATAGGTTAGGAAACTGAGATCTACAAAGGTTAAATGACTCGCTCAAGACCACAAGGCAATTGTACCAGATCTCAGAACGAGAAGAATTTCTAGTCCTGAACTGCCCACTTGCTAGCTGTGTAATTTTGTGTACATTACTTAACATTTCTGTGTCTGTTTCCTTACATGTGAAACATGGATGCTACTCCTACCCATTATCGCTTACGGAATTGTTAATGATAAATTGAAATAATACTATTTACCATTAAATAGCATTTACATTTTTTCAACTGTCTATATATCTCTCATCTCATTTAATCATGTAAGACTGGTTTCATTATTATCTCCAATTTTCAAGTGAAGAAATAGAGACTGAGAAAGACTGAGTAACTTGCTCAAAGTCACACAGCTATAACACGTCAGAGCTGAGATTTGGATTCACATCTGACTCCAAGTCTCATGTTCTTTCCACCAGACCACATCTATTGCGAGGCTCGTGTAGGTGAGATAATGAATGTGAAAGTGCTTTACAAAATGCGTCTTACAAATGCTCTTTAAATATTACGGAATATATCAATCTGCATTGATAGCTATAATAGGATTGCTACCAGACTGGCAAAGAGGACTCAGAAACGAAGTTGAAAAGTTGCTACATATAAAGATCGAAAGTGTCAGGGCTAGGTAAGGAAGCTGCCCATAGAAGAGAAGAACTTGAGGCATATGTAACACCATTCCAAGGGGAGATCAGTGAAAACAAACTTCCCATCTTGGTTTTTAATCTCGGATTCAAAATAGCAACCTAATCACATCAGACATATTCTAGTGTTACGCTAAAAATGTCACTTGATCATAAGCAGTGAGGTGTGTGGCAATCTTAATCTGAAATCAGAGTCCTCTATTACCTTTCAAGCTGCCACCTATAGAGATGGCTGAGCGGGTTTGATAAAAGCAGCTTAGAAATTTCAATGCTCCAATATAACACCAGGCAACTTCCAGCTTCAACTATCAAGACGCTCTAATAAATGTAAGACAGCCCTAAAATTACTAACAGGTCAGTAATTATTGTTGTATTCAAGGCTTGCTAGCTTAGAGAAGTAAACTTATAATTATCACAGCTACATTTTTACTACTAAGGTTTCTACCCAGCAGAATGCAGTCAAGACAATACAGGCACATTTATTACCCTTTTGGCAGCAGGTGGTCTGGACACAGTGACAGGCTATAGAACACATCTTAGTGTTTCATTAGGGCCTTGTGACCATAGGAGCTTGGCACTTTTTAATTCTGACTAAACTCTAAATCAATAACTTGTTAAAGAAAGAAACTGTCCCCTTGAGGGGCTACCACAGTAACAAGTTACCAACCTCAGCTTGTTTGCACCAAACGCTGATGTTTTTACGCTGGGCTTTTGTGAAGTGGTCCCATGCCTTTTGTTTGGAGGCGGAATGGTACACAGCTACTATCTGCTCAACTGCAGCGTCAGATCAGCAGTTGAATCAGGCCAGAGTATCATCCAGGGATGGCAAAAGAGAGGAGAAAACAAATAAGAGAAGCATCAGGCTTGTTGTATCTTCTTGTTATGAAACTATTAGATCGTAGTTGTGTTTGGAAAAGGCTATGTGTGTTGGAGCACTGTGATTTTAAAGGAGGCTCAAAGGCAGAGACATCAATATACAGAAAGGAAAAAGGGAACTCCAGAAGGTTTAGGGTGAAATGGTGACTAAAGTTCTAATACAGGCAGTCTGTATTCATTGAGGCAGGAGAGGCAAGAGTTGCAGTGAATGTGATTTAGTACTATTGCCTCTGCACAGCACAGCAGCAAGTGGCAAACTATACCAGTACCTTTCAACCACTGGCTTCTTTCATAAACTAGCCCTCCAAAATGAGTGCAGATGGTTTACTTCAACAGAATCCATTCTTTTAATATTCTGAGGTGTGTTTGACCAGAAGCATCAAATCAAAATCTAAGATGGATGGAATCTATTTTAAATCTACCTAAACAGGCTCCTTGACTGGAGAAATATGTTTTATGGAAGAATACCGTGTAGGCGCAGTCCTAGAGGTATTTTTCTGCGTCTCTTAAAATGTCAAATGGAGAAATGTGTACAAATATTCTGGAGCTTTATCCTAACCAGCTCAAGAGAAAGGAAGCTTAGACATGACTTTTTTGGGAAAAGAAAAGAAGGGCAAGAGCCTCTGCCTGGCTGGGTGTTCACAGTAAGAAAATCCGGAGGTGTTATTTCTTTCTTTACAGCTCTGTTTGTACCCTGTCTACTAATGATTTAAGGATTTATATTTTCACGATGCTTGCTGCTTTCTTTTTCTCTTTATTCTGAAGTCCTAAAAACATGTGCTTTCTCCCCCTGGATTCTATGCTCATATACACTTTCCAAATAAAAATGAAACAACTCCTCCTTAATCCCAATTGTGTATGAGTCAAGTATGGGAAGTCAAGTGTGAGAAGAGTGGGCCATAATTGTTTAAAAGCAAAATCATGAAACTATACCCTTATTCTTAGAGTGAATACAGTTTCTTACTCAAAAGATATGAGTGCATAGTTTTATAATATGGTGAACAAAAACTTTACTTGAGAATTTTTCTGACCTGTCTCATTTAAGAGACCCCAGATAGGTTTGGAGTGGTACTTCTTTTTGAAAATGGCCATTTCAGTGGTTTCCCATCCTATCCCACTGTCTAGGACATCCAGCAAAGGAAATGTAGAAGAAAGGAAACTAAAAACAAAAGGTAGAAGCAGCACATTTGGCGTTTATTCAATCCACTTGGGAAACATAATTACATTTCTTACTAGAATGGAGTACCTAAAAAGCATATTATATAATAATGATGCAAATCTGAAGCAAAGAAGGTTACACGTGCTAATTCTACATTCTAACTTCAGCAATGAGATCCCCAACTTTCCACTGAGGCCTGGGGTGCTTGTAACTTTAAGAACAAGCAAAAGTAAAGGCACAAGATTGTGGCCTAAGTGTCAGTGTTTCCAAGGAATGAAGTAGACATACCAGGGAAAACAAACATAGGAGGTGCCACATGTATACCATGAGACTAGAGCTTGGGCATTTGGCATATAAGGAGAGCACAAGGCAGTGAAGAATGAAGCCTTGCCCCTTGACACAGGATGGGTCTGTAGGCCTGGCTCCTGTATAGAGAAAGTGGTGACTAAGTGAAATGCCCTCTCACCCTTCCAGCACAACTCTGACTTCCACTCACATTGAATGAGAATTCCAGAAAGGGCTTGCTTGAACTTCTCCTTTGCTTCTTCCATGTCTTTCTCATGGGCAGCTTTCTCATTTACCAGGCGGCGGACGTGGCTGTTAGCCGACTGGATCATGGAGTAGAAGTTGTTGGCGCTGCGACGGTTCACCTCTCCTCGCTCAATCCAGGTGAGTAAGGTCTGTACAGCTTCTGAGAATTTGGAATCATCTGAAAATAGAGAATTTATTTTTAGAAAAATCAAAAGTAACCAAATCTCAATCTATTTTCCCAACATACTAGCAAGGAGGCCACCATGGCTTTTTGGCAGTGGTTGTTAAATAAACTACTGAGGATGAAGAGCCACGCACGTACATGTACCCAGAGGCAGCAGGCAGACAGACAGACAGACTGAAAGAATGGAAGACTCAAAGGTAGTCTGATTGGCTGCAGTCTATGAAGAATTTTCAGAAAGAGAATTACTTCTTCTTTCCTTAAAAAAAGTTTTTTTTACCGATATAGTTTTCACCTCTTATAAATTTCTTAACCTTTCTGATTGTGTGTGCATGTGCATATGTGTAATGTATGAATTAGCAGTGAGAGAACTTCAGAATTCTACAATCCTGTTTTTTAGTAAGGAAAAGAAAACTTGAGTCTTGAGTTTAACTTGAATTTGACAGTAACTTTATCCTAGGTCCATGGAATTATAGTGTTGGAAGGAGGCTTAAGAAAGAGTTAAGTGAGTAATTCTTTAGATATAAACACTTACATCTTTGGCCCCTTATAACAGCATTCCTGCATTCAGTCCACAGCCCCGGGCCTTCCACTCAGTGCCAGTCACAATCTGTTCTGAAGTAATTAATTCTATTTCTACATTTCTCCACATCCTGTTTCTCTTGCCTGAGGAACAATCCAAGTAGATTCCTGCAGCTAGTTAGGAGTTACTCTCTGATGTTAAAATAGTAGCACAACTCTTTCAAAGCTTCTGGTCCAGCTTCCTAGGATAGCCACTTATATATTCTGCTGTTAAAGACCCATGAGAGGGAGAATCCATTAACATCCCATTGAAGGCCCCTTCTAGGGCTCCACATCCCTCTCTGGTCTGAAACGCTCATGTTCAGTAGAAATATCTTTCACTGCAATTTGAACTTCTTGCCTTTTACCTTTGTTTAGTGTAGATATATAGAGAGGTCAGCCTCCCCTTTATAGTAGCTTTTCATTTCATTGCTTGCACACAGTCTTTATGTTGATGCTCACTTTTTGCTTGAGGTCCACATGTAAAATCATTTGAGGTCCACAGCAAAGTCATTTTTTAAAAAAAAATTCAACCTGACCTGTTTGGTGTCATGTGAATACGTAAGTCGTGGACCTGGCATCTTACCAATGCTTTCAGCCTTTCTAGCTTTTCAAAATGTTCCATTATTTCTGTGTCTCTATTATAGATTCTGTTTTCTGCTTTTCTCTTCCAGGAAGACAAAATCAAGCCAAACAAAAGATTTTTTACATGTGTGAATCCCTTCAGCTACATGGTAGAAACAAGTATGGTGAACGAGACCTATCTGGAAAGTGGAATTAGCAGCAGCTTGCTGAGCCTAGAGCCCAAGAAGCAGGGAAAATTCATACCGTTAGAGCTGGGTTGGTGCCATCAATTAGATCAATGGGACATCCGCATTCATCCAATAAAATCAAACATTCTCAGAGAATGAAAAAGACTGGATTTGAGCTACTAACACAGGAGACCAGGCAGGGAAATTAATGTTAAATTAGCAAAATGGCTCTTAGAGTCAAGCAAGGGGTACAGGAATCAAAACCAAAGGGAAAGCAGTCTGATTTAGCAATGTCTAAAAGTCTCCATAGTCACTGTGTGAAATAACTTCGCCATTTTAAGTGATTAAACAAGTCCTCTTTTAGTTGGTGGTAGCTAAGTCTTTGAATAATCTAAGAAGAATGTATACTGTGACTACTCTCTGGGTCTCCGTTTTCTCATACGTAAAATGGGGATTTTTTGCCAGAGTTTTCCAGGGTTACATCAAATTCTATCATTCTTATTTATTCTGATTTCGAATTCAAAACTAGCTTGTTATCCATGATGGAAGGAAGGGTGCTTACAGGTCCCAAGTCATGGGTCACAGCTAAAATTCTCTGATGTGGAGAAGTGGGAAAAACTTGTTTCTTCCTAGTCACCTGATGTGTGGAGAAAAAAATGCCATCCCTTGAGACAGTAAAGGAGCAGAGACACAGGTGGAGGAATAAATTTTATGGTTCTTGAGTTACTAGGCACACCTCTCTATCTGCAAGGCTCCAACACAAGAAATGCTTAGAATTAGTCAGTGGGAAATTCAAAGGATAACTGCCAACAATACAAATGTATTTATTAAATTTCTGCAAAGAAAGGAGTTCTTTTAATCACAAAGCTCAAATGCTTTCTATACCTTTCAGTTTTTCAGCAACAATGCTGCATTCATGATCTGAATAGTGGACCACTGGGGGTGGGGATGGTGGGCGCAATCTTTCTTCTTCCATCCTTCTACGATGGCGCTCCTCCCTTGCAAGCATACGCTGTTTGCATTCCCACTCATACAGGTCGTCCCGAGCCTGTGCAAAATCAACGTGGAGCCGGCCTGTGTCCTTCTTGTCAGTGCTAGAGCCCAGGCGAATGCGGTAACCTAAGTGCACAAGAAGGAGAGAGGAGGACAAGAGCAGCCCAGTAAGTAACTGTAACTACTTTTCCAAGTTCAGTGTTCCAGCTGCGGTTGCAGCAGTTTCAAGTGACCACATAACCCCAAATTCTCTCCCCAATACTCGCAAGGTGAACCATCAAAAGACTCAGATTATAGTCTCAGCTCTGATAACAGTTTACTATTCTGTGGGTTGGGTCAGTCCTGTTCATGGAAGTTCCATTCCTCCATCAGCCACCTTTCCTCTGGTGGAGGGAGGCTCACTGGGTAACGGTATCGAGATTGAGCCTTATATGGCACCATAGGCTGGGAAGAATGGAAAAGGTGGCCTCAAACTGTGGTGTCTTTGGATGACTTCAAGTGTCAGTCATACCAATACACAGAATTTTGAATAAATCTAAGTGTATCAGCTCATCATTTTAATCTCAGAAATTGCTTCTTAGACATGCTTAGTGATTCTGAACTATTATTTTCCGGTGAAAAAAATAGATATGATGGGGAGTGGTATGTGATTCAGGTGACATATAATTTGGGATCCTTAAAAAAAGAGGTTGCATGCTTGTAATATAGTGGTATATGACTAGGATTCAGAGAACCAGGATTCAAGTCCACATCTCCACTTTTTGTGCCAGTTATACTACCCAAGTTGTCTCTTAACAAAAAATGGAAAAAGACATTTATTAAGTTGCTTTTTTTTTGGGGGGGGGGGAGGAAGACTGGTCCTGAGCTAACATATGTTGCCAATCTTCCTCTTTTTGCTTGAGGAAGATTGTTGCTGAGCTAACATCTGTGCTAATCTTCCTCTACTTTGTATGTGGGGTGCCGTAAAGGTTGATGAGCAGTGTGTAGGTCTGTACCTTGGATCTGAAGCCGAGAACCCAGGACCGCTGAAGTGGAGTGTGTAAACTTAACCACTATGCCATGGGGCCAGCCCTTAAAAAACATTTATTAAGTTTTTATTAACTTATTTTTAAGTTTCAGAAGCTGAGCTAGCTGCTTTCAAACACATTTATCTCATTTCATTCTCAGCACAAGCTTGCAGAGTAACTCCTGCCTTAAACAACTAAAAGTATGGACAAAATATATGAAACAATGGTTTTTAAGACATTGGACCTTGGGCAATGAAGACAGAGATCACTGAGAGACAAGAACCAAATGACGTGATCCCTATAATTTCCCCAGCTTATTGCCTGGAGAGGGTTTCCAGGCCTCAACACAGGAAGGGGAAGTCAGGCAAAGCGTGGTGATCTCCCTGAGTTGAGGAGTTTAAACTGGGAATCCAGGGAGACTACGGCAGACAGAGTTTGTATGGCAGAGAACTGGAAAGAAGAAAGCCACATAAAGAAAGAAATGCAGAGATCTGCAGAGGGTCCTCCACTATCGTTTAGCTGAGTATTGCCGTCTACGTGTATATATGGAAATTACCTGAGCGTCAGAGCTAACAACCCCTGGAGCTTACACAGGGCTGGGACGAGTTCCTTTTCCTACCAGCTAGAGTAGAAAAACTAATAATTCACAGAGTACTGGGGAGAATAACCAGAAGGGTTTTGCCTCAGTTGGTGGAGAAAAATTAGCCCTAGACTAAACCCTGCTCTGGTTCTGCTGAATAAAGCTTTAAAAACAACACCTGAAAGGATCAAATTTTTCCTAACTGCATCCCAGAACAAAGCTCAAGAATATTTGTAGGAATGAAAAATATCTGGCACTCAATAAGGTAAAATTCACAATGTCTGGTATGCAATAAAAAATTACCCAATATGCAAAAAAGCAGAAAAATCGTAAGAAAAATTTAAAAAATCATTCAGTCCTAACAGACCCAGAAGTGACACAGATAATATAATTAATAGATAGGGACATAAAACAACTATTATAGTTGGATTTGATATGCTTAATAAACTAGAGAAAAGATTGAACATATTAAGTAGAAATACAAAGGACGTAAAAAAGAACCAAAATCAAACTTCTGGAGATTTAAACTATAATGTCTGAGTTAAAAAAAAATTACTGGGTAGGACCAATGGCAAATTAGACATTACAGAAAAAAAGATTAATAAACTTGAAGACACAGCAATAGAAACTATTCAAAATGAAATAGAGAGAAAAAAGATGGAGAACAAAAACAGAGTACCAGTGAGCTGTGGGACAACTTCAAGGGGCCTAAAATATGCCTAATTGGAGCCCTGATTGGAGACAGAGGAGGGAATAGGAAAAATGTTTGAAAAAAATAAGGGCAGAAAAATTCCCAAATTTAATGAAAACTCAGAAACCTAAGAATTTCAATGAACCCCAAGCACAAGAGACATGAAGGAAATTACACCAAGGTACATCATAACCAAACTGCTCAACACCAGCAATAAAGAAAATATCTTAAAAGCTGTCACATACAAAAGATTTATTATGTATAGAGAAACAAAAGATAAGGATAACATATTTCTTATTGGAAACAATGCAAGCAAGGAGATAGTGGAGCAACATCTGAGAGAAAAAAGAAACTGTCCACCTAGAATTCTACGCCCAGACAGATCTTTCAAAAAGAAAAGTGGAATAAATGCTTTTTGATACATACAGATGCTGAAAGAATTCATCAGGAGCAAAGGTGCACTACAAAAAATGTTAAAGGAAATTCAAGCACAGGGAAAATGATACCAAATGGAAATCTGGATCTATACAACGGAAGGAGGAACATACATAATATATGATTCCATTATATGAAACCCTAGAAAATGCACACTAATCTGAGAGAAAACGGATCAGTGGATGCCTGGGGAGGGAAGAGGAGAGGGATAGGAGAAAGAGATTACAAAAAGGACATGAAGGAAGCTTTTAGGGGAGGTGGACATAGTCATTATTTTGACCATAGTGATGGTTTCACAGATGTATGTATACGTCAATAATATCAAATTGTATTTTTAAAATATGTGAAGTTTATTGTATGTCAATTATTATACTTCAATAAAGCTGTTATAAAGAATAATGCCCAGTAACACTAAAACTACCACACTTTTTTCAGAAAGAGGAAGAATAAATACATTTCATAAGCAAATTTTACTAGAGCCCTTTACAGTTTACAATGACCTTCACACCCATTCATTTTATTTGATCATCAGAGCCATCAGAAAAATGGGGCTATTAATGATTACTTTGTCTATTCTTGCAGGATCGTGGAGAGGATCAAATGAGAAGACGTTATGAAAGCTTTGTGTAAACACACAAAAGATACTGATGCTATGAAGTTGGGGTGCTGTGCACAATGCCAGCTCCCAAAGGTGCCCAAACTCCAATAGAAAAAAATGATTATTTCTACATTTCTACCCGCCTTTCTAAGGGACTTTGTTTTAATCTCTTTCTTTTACAATGTGGGAGAATAGCCATCCAATTCAGGAGGTTCCTAGCACTTGTGAGCTTTCAGGGAGCAGGTTCAAATTTAAAGGGCAAAATTTAGTTGTTTTCAGATCACTGATTGCAATCCTCTTTCCTTTCACAGTCCTGAGAACCTTTCCAGGAGGTGGTTGTTACCAGAGAGCTGACTTCAATGATGTTTGGGTGGAAGCCTCCTGAGCAGTATGTTGTCTTTACCGTTCAGGGCTTTTCAAGACCTTTAAGTTCTTATTAAAATAGTCTACTGTGAATGTTCTGTTATCATTGCTAAGTGCTGTGGAATCTTGAGTAGTTAGATTTTACAGCACTTAGCAAATGTAATAAGAGTATTCAACATCTGTCTCCTCCTCTCCTTTCCCATGTTACCTGCCTACTTTTTCAAACCCTCATGATCTTTTCTCTGGCCTATTGCAACAGGTGTCTAACTGACGTGCTCTCCTCTAATCCATTTTTATACAGAGCTGTCAGATTAATCTTTCAGAAACAATCATCTTCCTTGTTAAAAAAAGTTTTCAACAATTCCCTATGGAATTACCTGAGGAGTAAAGACCCAACTGTTAAGCCTTTCAAAGTGTGCTAACAGCTGATATTTCCCCTCCTCCTTTCGTGTCTACTCGGTACACAAAACCACTACTCATTGCTCCCTTGAATGTTCATCAAAACTTACCACCTTTGTACCTTTGCTCATGCTGTATCTAAGCTCCACTGTCCACATTCAAATGCTTTCTCTGTGTCAAAGACTTGGTTCAAATGCTACCTTTCTTGATACCCGAGTCAGGAGTCAGAAAATTTCTCTTCTTTCTCTCTCTCTCTCTCCTCTGAACTTCCATACCACTTTATCCATACTTCTCCTACAGCACTCATAACTTTCAACCTCTTATTATTATTATTAACATTGAGTGTGTCTTATCAGAGTCTTGAGCAATGCCTGGTGCTGAATGTTTCCTTATTAGATGAATGTATGACTGCAGGCTAACCCTGTTTATTAAGGGAAAGAACTGGGTTTTACGCTTTCTCTACTCTGCTCAATATTTAGTACAATAACTTACACGAAGGAGATGTCCAACAAGCACCTGTTACATGAATGAAGATTCTGCCACCGTCAAATATCTAGCAGTTGGATTCAATTCTTCCAAACCATTACTCTTAAGCAAGGAAGTAGTTAATTGTTTTATGCCCTTTTCAATTACCATGTCTTCTGCCTTCAGGCTTATTTGTCCACCCCACTGCCCCATAAAGAACAATACCAATACAAAATAAGCAAAGGATCAGCATGAAATTTTATCTGGAAATCACCCCAAAAGGTAAAGGGCTTCACTTTATAATATTTAACAGAAATCATTCCAATTATAATTCCTTACGTCAGTCTCCCCAAATCTGAACTTTTACCATGAACAAGAGACTATGCAAAGTAGTTCTTACTATCTCCACTCCAACTACCATAGTATATAAGCCACTATCAATTCTGGATTAGACTAATGCTACAGTTGGCTAACTTATCTCCCAGTCAACATCCTTGCCCGTACCCCTTAGTCCATCCTTCACCCAGAAGTGTTATTTCTAAAATGTATATCAGATCGTGTCACTCCACTCCTTAAAATCCTCCAATGGATTCCCATTGCATCCAGAATAATAAGCTCATTACTATAGATTACAAGGCCCAACATGATTTGGCATTGCTTACCTCTCAGACCTCATTTCACTTCATTGCCTCTCTCTTATTTACTATGCTCCAGTCATGCTAACCTTCTCTCTGCTGCTTGAACATGCCAAGTCCATTTTCATCTCAGGGCCTTTGACTTGCTCTTCTTTATTTTGGAATGCCCTTCTCCAGATGTTCACATGGCAATTCCCTTCATATTGTTCAGATCTCAATTCAAATGTCAGAGAAGACTTGCTTTCCTAACAACCCTAGGTATATTAGCATTTTTATCTTCTTCACAGCACTTATTGGTACCTGATATTAATTTATTTGTTTACATATATATCATATTTTGCCATCTTCAGAATATATTCCTGATGGCAGGAAGTTTGTCTGTCTCAGTCTCTGCTATAGCCTCAGCAACATAGCATTCTGCCTAGCAGTCAATGAATATTTGACAACTAACTGACTTCCATAGACAGTTTTGAGCATCTACTTTTGTGCCAGGTTATGCACTAGATGTTGGGGATTCAACGTTAAATAAGACATAGTCCCTTCCCCTAAGGAATTCACACTCTGGTGGGGGAGACAGATGTGTAAAGAGATAGTTCTAGCATGGTGTTATAGGTGTCATGTTAGGATGAAGAACCAGGTACTACGGAAGCACTGAGGAAGGGTTGCCCAAACCAGCCTGGAACAGACTGGAGAGAAAAGTCAGAGAAAGCTTTCCAGAAGAGGTTATGCTTAAGCTGGAACTTTAGGGTGTGAAGATATGTGTATGGTGGATGGGGGTGGAAAAGGTAATTCTAGTCAGAGGAAAAGGCATAAAACACCATGGCACATTCTGGGAACTAGAATTAGTTTAGTGTGGTTAGCACATGGTTTGTGAGGGAAGGATTGAGAGACGTCACTGAAAGATAAAACAGATAATCAGGGCCTTGGTAGATGCTACAAGTAAGGAGTTTTGGAGTTACCCCATAGAGAAGTGGGAACTACTGAAGAACTTTAAAGAAAGAAGTTGGGTTGTAACATGCATTTTCCATCTCTGAAGGCAAGAAGGGGTACCATTAGCTTTAGCTGCCACAGATGCAAATACACTGATCCCCAACTCTGCACTGTGTGTGGTGGGCACAGTCCTCATGACCAAACACCTACCAGAAAGATAAAGGGCTTTGTCCACCATGTACTCCTCTGCAAAGCGAATGTGACAAAAATTCTTTTTGCTCTTCCGAATAGCAATGATCTCTCCACACTGTTCAAACACTTCTACAATGATCTGCTCTGTTCCATTTTCAGGCAGGCCGCCCACAAAGACTGTTTTGCATCCTGGTGGTCGTTCTCGGGTTGCAGGAGGTGGAAGATCTAAGCATAAGTGCAAAAGGATTTGAAATTAAAATCTTTGCGACAGACCTCTTAGAAACCTAACATGAACCAGATATAGCCTACTGTCTGTCCCCATCAGACTTTTGCCTGTGAGTGCCAGAAGCACATTGTCTCCAAGGTGCTCTCTGCTCCACAGCAAATTGGTTGCATGAATCTGAAAATCATTTTATTCAATGATTTTGTGACCATGATGTCTACAGGATAAAGACTCAGACCTGTCTGTCTGTCCCATCTAGAGTTATTTAATTTTGTTCTTTACTTTTGTTGTGACAACCCAGCTATGTCCAATTTTCAGTCATTTTTATTAAGAAGACAGTGAGTGGGGGGAAATCCCACTCAGTTTAAACTCTTACTTTCAGGAATTCTCAGAATCAGGGTCCCTGAGAGAAGGGTTTGTTTAATTTAGTTTGTAGTTTCAATATTCTTTCTGTTCGTGCTTGCTGAAAAAACTGTTTCAGGATTAATTTGATAATGATGGGGTGAACATTTACAAAAATATTTATAGCTATCAGAATGATTTGGTTGACAAAGTCAACCTGAGTACAAACCATCCCTTCTAGGTTTTTTTGTTTTTTCGTACCAGTGAGCCCTTCCTCAAATTCCTTGCTGGAGAGGTGACGTCCAGAGCCAGTCATGCAGCATTTAGAGGGAAGTATGAAAGACAGCAGAGAAAGGAAGCTCATATGGGAAATCATTAACTAAAGTGAGATAAATTTGGCTATAGAGTCATTAAAAACCTACTTAATGAGATGATTCCCTCTCTGCTTAAAAAATATCCTTCTACTCACTCATCTTATACATAAAGCCTGTTCTATCTGCCAGCTCCTTGTTGCTATTTATATGTATGAAAGTATTTTCCAAGCAAAATCCTACAGTTCATAGCCCAACAAAACAAAGCATGATGGTCAAGGGTTTTTCTAGTGTTGGTTTTGTATCAGCAAGAATTTATTTGGTGTAATCCGTTCTTTCCATTCAGCTCTTAACAATAATTCTCCCAGCTCAAGATTTGGAGAGCTCAGCAACCAGTGATTACAGCTCACACGCAAAAATAAATGAGTCTCACTTGTAGATTAGGGCAAGGCCCCCACCTGACTCCTATCCAAGCTGGCAAGCGGATGATTTGGGAGCTTCCATGGGTATCAGCATTTCTAGCTTCCTCACTTTGCTAACATTGTCTGTCTTACCAGTGTGGCTCAGAATAATCAGGTTCTCATAATGCTCTTTCCTTCTGTTTAGTCAACAAAAGGGGTAGAGGGATTCAGGGAACTTACAGAGTTCCTGTTAATTTCTTAAATGTCTCTAATTTCAAGAACTCGCTGTATTGGTTTTTTGTTCCATATGAGAAGTTTAAAAGGAAAAAGAAGAGAACCCAGTGAGCAGGAATCTGAAATGTCTTAGTCAGGGATACTGGAGAAGTTAAACTTTTAGCCAAAAAGGGGGAAATGAGGTCCAGAATCTCTTGAGACTTATGCTTCTGAACTTTTAAGAACTGGAAAGGATTCTAGAAATCACACACAGTGGTTCTCAACTCTGGCAGCATCTTAGAATCAACTTGGGAGTCAAACAAGCAAACAAACAAATGCCTGGGCCCCATTCCAGTGCATCTGATTTAATGAGTCTGGGGTGCCGCCTGTGCATTGTTTTCCTTAAAGCTCCTCAGGCAACTCTAATGTGCAGCTAGAGTTGAAAACGACCGACTTGGTCTAAACTCCTATTACAGAGGAACAACTTTAGCTGAGTGAGGTTGAGTGACTCATTCAAAGTCACTGACTTAAACAGGAAGAGAAGGAGCAGGAGCTCGGAGCAGGCAAACTGGGATTTAAACCTCGGCTCAATTACGCACTGTCTGTATGACTTTGAGAAAATTACACAACCTCTGAGAACCTCGTTTTGTCATCTGTAAAATAGGGATACTGTCCTCTACCTTACAAGGGTTATTGGAGGATAATTCATAATCTACTGTCTATACTGCCTGTGGTGCAAGGCCTAGAACTTGATAGGTTCCCAATAAACAGTAGTTGTTATAGTATTATTATTATTTACTATTATAGAACCCAGGTTTCCTAATTACCAATCTGGGGCTTTCTAAATTCTTATCACAAGTCTGGAGTGGAGTGGTAGCTAAGACCTGCACCTCTAAACTCCCAGCTCCTTGCTTTATCCAGATCTTTAGTCAAGGCTGGGTTTGGGAGGAAATCAGTCTTATCCATATAGGATTCTACAGTTGTGAAGACACACATGGTTTTGACCATGGAATACAACCCGGCCATTGACTATCTAGGTAAAGAATTTTCAAGAGCATTCATATAGTTAGAGCCATGTTTTCAAATCAGAGGCTTTAGAATAAAATCCTGTTTTAGAATCCTTCTGAAATTTACTATTTAAAGGAATTTGATAGTAAAAAATCTTTTTGTGAAGCAAATAATCACCTTTTTACGTTGAGTTTGCTTAGTTAGGCCTACCTTTAGGTTCATTGAGAGACTCTGAGGAGTATCTGGTTACTGCAGCAGTTACATGTAATACTGAAAATATGAAGGCTCTTTCCTTGGACTACATTTGTGGATTTAAATTTTCTGTGATGAAGTCATCGCCCTATTTAGATGCTGTGATTATTCTGTGGTGACTGTCTGCTAAGTAAAGGCACATAAAAGCCACTAAGAGCGGCGTCAAGAATGCTAAGGATTTATTTATTCTCCTTGGGTAAATGTAGAAAGCCTCTTTTATAGCATTTGCTGAGATTTAGGTGTATGCCACCAAGCAAGGCAATGGGCTGTACTATCTTCCTTAATGGATAGTACTTGTTCTTTAATTAACAGCTCAAAGCACTTTATTGTCTGGGCCTGATTTTCTAATCCCACTGAAATACAGTGTTCTGGGCACAGCAACATAACTCCATATTCAAATTCAAAGTCCACCTATTAATCAGGTAAGGTGCTAAACTCTTGTAACACTCCAATCCCCACTCTGGATGGAGAAGGAGAAAACTTCCATGTAAAAAGAGTCAAGATAACTGGGAGTATAAAGAACTCTAATCTCTGGTAATGGAACAGGGGGAGCTTCTAGCAATTCTAATCACAACTAAATACCCACACTGGGGAGCTGTGTTGGGGCAATCAGCATTAAGATCAAAGTCACTGCTGATCTCTGAGAAGTGAGGCAGGGAACAGCATAGAGGACCTATAAACCACTTGCATCTTACTTCTTTTCAAAGGAGCATCACAGATCATTCAGCTGGTTTGCCGTATTTACATACTGCAAAGTCTTTGAGTTGGTTTTATTAGATAGCCTAAGGTTGAAGGCCCCCTAGACAACCAGCAGGGGTCAGATATATTTTAATGTAATCCCAACAGATTAAAAATAATCAGAAGGCTGGTGAATCTTTATTAATATTCAATTTACCCACTTTCTAGAACCCAGCCTATACAACCCAGCTCTAGGAGCCAAAACAGGAGGTCGGCCTATTTTGAGATGGTAAAATGAAAATATTGGTCTTTTTCTGGCTCCTGGGTACTTTCCGACGTGCCCTCACAGATAGCAGATGACATTCCACCATTTATTCCATGTTCATTGTTATTTGACAGTAGACTCAAAATGCACCCCCTCCATATAGAAGGTCTATCAGGTGAAGGAAAAAATCTTGGCAAAATTGACTTCTTTGGAGAGATGGTGCTGCTTTCTTCTTATACCACCAATCGAGAATTGCTAATTGGGATTACAGTAAACCCCTGATAGCCACTCTGTGAAAAAAAGTAATTGTGTTCCAGAGAGCTCTCTTTTGCCATATCTCTGACCCCTGGGAATCAGAGGATGTTGCTTTTAAGACAATGGGGTACTCACTCATCATTTATCTTTAGGAGACTGTGCACACTCAGCTCCAGTCTAATTTGATCCATTGAATTTTTAGACCAGAACTGATTCTGCCCAGTCTCGATCAGAGAGGTTGTTACTTACTCAAAATCTTATGGCTATTTAGAGGTATAGATCTTGGATATGAAACTGGGCCTGTGTCACTTCAGGGCTCGAGCGCTTAGCCCATTATACCATACTGCCTGCTCCACTGAAGGTACGGAGCTCGAGGTGCCACCTACCAATTTTCTCTTGCTTTTCCTAATACATTTTGAGAGTCTTTTCTCCAGGTGAATAATTATTGTGGTAGCTACATTTTTAATGTCAAGAATCATATTTTTAGAGCTGGATGAAAGCTTGGAGGTATGTAGGCTAACCTAACCTAATATCTTCGCTTTACAAAGGAAACTGAGACACAGGGAGGTTATGTGACTAGCCCAAGATGCCACAGGTAGTTGGTGACAGTGCTGGGAGTAGAATACAATTCTATTGACTTTTAATCTGGTAGTTTGTCCACTATACTATATCACAATTCTTTGCACGTTTGATGTAGATTCACCCAGAAAACTCTAGTGGTCAGTTGGCTATGTGTCTGAAGCTCAGAAGAGAGATATGGAGTGAAAACATAGATTTGGAAGTTGTCAGCACGTAGGTTAACCACCTCATGCTCTCTTGGTTTCCTTTCTAGACCTCTGACCTCTCCTTTTGCATCCATCCATCCATCCTTCGATCACTCAAGAAATATTTATTGAACACCTATTATATGTCAGATACTTTTCTAAGGGCTGGTGATACCTCAGTGAACAAAACAGACAAAAATCCCTGCCTTTTCTGGTGTTTACATTCTATAAATAACATAGTTTGTTAAAAGGTAGTAAGTGTTATGTAAAAAATAGAGAAGGTAAGTAGGATTGGGAGTGTGGCAGGGAGGGCTGCACTTTTAAACAGGCTGCCAGGCTCACCAAGAAAGAGACATTTGAGCAAAGACGTGAAGGAGGTAAGTGAGATAGCTATGTAGATATTTAGGGGAAGAGTATTCCAGGCAGAGGGAAGAGCCAGTGCAAAGGCCTTATGATGGAAGAATGCCTGGTGTGTTCACAGGACAGCATGGAGTGATGGGAAGGAGAGTACTAGGAGACAAAGTCAGACACGATGTGGGAGAGGGAAGGCAGATCGTAAAGGACCTTCTATGCCATTAAATGGACTTTGGCCTTTATTGTGAGTAAAACAGGGAGCCATTACAGGGTTTTGAGTAGAGGAGGGACATGATCTGACTTAGGTTTTAAAAAGGATCACTCTGCCTGCTCTCTTGAGAATAGACTGTAGGGGGCAGGGGTGAAAGAGGAAGATCAATTAGAGGGCTATTGCAATAGTTCAGAAAATGTATCATGGTGGATATAAACTGTATCGCAGCAGTGGTTATCACGAGAGTAGTATGATTCTAGATATATATTTTAAGGTAGATCTAATAGAGTTTTCTAACAGATTAAATATGGTGTGTGAGGGAAAGAAAGTAGGTAAAGATGATCCTTAAGTTTTGACCTGAGCAACTGAAAGGATGCAGTTGCCACCATCTGATATGGAGAAGGATACTAATGGATAAGGTTTGGGGCAAAGATTAGGAGTTTTGCTTTGAACATATTAATTTTGAGATGTCTATTTGACGTCTAAGCGGAAATATCAAGTAGGCAGTTGGATATAAGTTTGGGGGTTCTCAAGATCTGAGCCAAAGATATAATTTGGGGTATCATTGGCATACAGATAGTTTTTCCAGCCATGAGACTAGATGAGATCATCAAAGGTATGAATATAGATAGAGAAGAGGTCCAAGGACTGAGCCATGGGGCTTTCCAATGATAAGAAGTCAGGGAGAGCAGATGGTTATCAGCAAAGGAGACGGAGAAAGAGCAACTAGTGTGGTGGCAGGAAAACCAATAGTGCGGTGTCATGGAAGCCAAGTGAAGAAAATAAACCAATGAGTCAGGAGTACTCAAGTGCCATTTATGGCTATAAGGTCAACTATGAAGAAAGTTGAAAACTGACCAGTGGACTTAGTATTGTAAGGTCACAAGTATTCTTAAACAAGGGACACTTTGGCAGAGGAGTGGGGCAAAAGCATAAATGAGAATTTAAGGGAGAAGAGAAGAAGAACTGGAAATGGCTAGTAAAGATTAAGTCTTCTGAGGACTTTTGCTGCTAAGGGGTATATAGAAATGCAAACTCCTCTTTCTCTTTTAAATTTTGATATGCTGGAATTCCCCAGAGCACTCTGCTTGGTTGTCTTCCCTTCTTGATCTATATAATCTCTCTGGTGGTCTCAGTAATTCTTACACCTTCAAATGACCTAATGTTTCAAGAAGGATGAAGGGGTCACTAGTACTAAATATAGCAGAGAGATAAAGTAATTTAAGGACTAAAAAGCATCCATTGGATTTAGCATCCAGTATTTAAGTGGAAATGCATTAGAGTGATGGATGATTAACTACTGTTTTAATTTCAGTACCTTCCACATGGCAGTGTTCCAGGAGAGGGTAGGCCTGGAGTTGGGCTGGAGAGGAATGTGAGATCAGTTGAACTTGACTTAAGGGTGGGTAAGTGGCAAGTAGAAATGATGGATTGAAGACAGTCACGTGAAGCAGACCAGTGAAAGGCTTTTGAAGTTAGAAGTTGAACTCTGAATTTGTGGGCAATGGGAGCCCCAGGACTTTTAGGGTTCTGTATATATGACAATTGTCTGGATGAAGCATCAGGTGGGAGAAAGGGGAATGAACTGCTGGTAAAGATAGTTCCTAATAAAGGAACAAGACAGAAGCAGATTGGATGGTACATAAAAAGTCCATGAGAGTCCCTAAATCACAGGACCTTAATGTTGAGAGGCCAGTGAGCACAAGAGAATATACCAGAGACAGGCAAAAGTAAGTACTGGGGTTTATAATCAAGGCCTTATCAGACAGGGTTGGTGGGCTCTGGAGAGGATAAGGGATCATACCAAATTCCTGCTCTTCCCATCTCATCTTGACAAAGTCTTGGGGCTGTTAACAAACATGGCACTTTTGCAGTGCTTTCAGCAGAGAACTAAGGGGGTCTACTGCATGTTTTCCCCACCCAATTAACCTGAGCCTGAATTTAACAAAATTCAAGTTCTAAAAAGAAAATAGAACACCAGTTGACTTTAAGCTGTGTCAAGAGTGCTATTTTTTGAATTCAATTCCAAAGCCAGGTTCCTTCCCAGAAGCCACCACTTTACTAGCACTAATTGCCCTGTCAGCATTCTTAGCACAAAGATGAAGAACTAAAGGATGGAGCCGTGAAGGTAAAATGCTTCCCTCTCACTCTGTGGCCCTACCAACTCAGAACTGAGAAAGCATGGCTGTAGGTGGGAAAAGATAAATGTGTCTGAGGGATGTCTGTCCGTTTCTTTTACTAGAGACTATAAAAAGTTAGAGCCTCTTTAAGCAATGTATTTCTACATTCATTTAAAGACTGCTCAATAATGTGATCTATGTGTTATACACAAGGATCTATGTGCTATTCTTTGGAAATTCAGAAATGGAACATCCTGTAAAGTCATCTCTTGCACCCAACCTATAAGTTATGAGCCATCCTGTTAGGTTAAACTTGCTTGAAACAATGAAAGCCTAGTACAGGCTGATTATGCGATAAATAAGTGATTAAACCAGCAGGATTCCACCTTTACATAAGCAGCAGATTTTTAACACTGACAATGCCTAAATTCATGGCTTTTGAAGTGAAAAAAGATAGTATCAGGGATGCACAGCTTTCTCTAATCCAAAAGCAATACATTGGAATAAAGAGAAAAAAGTCCATTGTGCTTTTGGGACAGTGGCACTAAGAGAAGGAGACAAGGGTACAACAGTGCCGCTCATTCACCTAGGCACTAAACACAAATCCAGGAATGGCCACTTGAGCTGACAGGTAGGGCCTACTAGGGCCATCTTAATCTCCATTCGCTAACTCTCCTGTGACATGCTAGCTCTTTTCCCAATTAGATGCTGGCCTCCTAGATTTCTTATTGGTCTGGAAGGAAGTACCCTGCTGACAACCAAGTTCGAAGGCATTAAGAACATTTTTCACTAGCAAAAGGGGCCAAGATGATTTGTCCAACCAACCCTGACTGATTCTAAAATCCTCTTGGTTATGAGCAGACCATACTAAGTAGAATCTGGGTCCCTGCCAGGGCCTGATTCCATGATTAACTGATTCCCATGTAAGGTAGGAGATTAAACAGTTGTCTGAAGTCACCTGTCAAAAGTTCATGTTTATTGTGATAAGGCAAGTTCATTTGATCTACGGCCTGAACCCCTGAGTGTGTCTGTTAACAAACAGCTTTAACCTTTCGGCACCATAGTGGCAGCTCCCTTAAGTAGGCCACCCAGCATCACTAGAACTGTGGAAAAAGCTTTAAGGAGGCTTGGGTCATGTGCAGAAGCAGCTTCTGATTATTTAAAGTAAATAAAACCCCAAATAGATCCAGAAAAAAAGTTTAATTATTATTGCTGCTACATTTTACCTGAAATATGGCTACCGTATCTTTGCAGATTTTTTTAATGTTTTTTTCTTTTTTTGGCGAGGAAGATTGGCCCTGAGCTAACATCTATTGCCAATCTTCCTCCTTTCTTTTCCTCCCCAAAGCCCCAGTACATAATTGTATAACCTAGTTGTAAGTCATTCTAGTTCTTCTATGTGGGATGCCACCACAGCATGGCTTGAGGAGTGGTGGATCTGAACCAGTGAACCAGGATCTGAACCAGTGAACCCTGAGATGCTGAAGTGGAGCATGTGAACTTAACCACTTGGCCACGGGGAAGCCCCTGCAGATGGTTTTAAGAGTCTAAAGGGAAACCTATTCATTACTGACAAGATAGATGCCTAGATCATTTACACATGAACTGCATTGACCAGATGGCTGCAAGTAGTTTGACTTAGACTCAATATTCCTCTTTGCTTTCACAGTAAGTTGAACTTCACCTCACTCTCGATCGCAGCCCATCAGTTGAACAGCAGTAGTTGGAGTGATGTGTGAATAGCTGGTAGCAGTGGAGGATTCTTAGCATGAAATGTATATTCTCATGTGCCTCAAGTAGGCTCAGACCACACTCTATTTCTGCTATCATCAGCATGCAGGCCAGTTATGACAAGAAGAGACTGCAAACGACAGTGTTGAGTAATTTGTGTCAGGTGCCTCCTTCTATACTAACACACTTGAATTCCTTACCAGGCAGCATTAGAAACATGTTTTATCATTTGTACTTCAACCAGCACACAGAAACCTACCATTCTGTGCATAAAATTCAGCCTTGCCTAGTAAGAGAAAAATTTCCTGTCTTCTCTTTTCTAGGTGAAGCTTCTGTACATACAGATATGAAGCCCTTGGGTATTCTTTTGAAAAAGAAGAAAGTGTTCCTAGACACCAAAATATTGTGACTTGTGTAGAGAAAAAGCAGAATATTACTTGGATTTGGAGGGAAGAGTGTGCAACTTTTACAGTGTATGATCTCCTTCACGACTGGCATATCTGGTGGAATGGGAGGAGGTACTATTCCCAGGCCAGGCATCATTGGAGTTATTGGTGGAATTCCAGTCATCATTCCAAGAGCAGGATCAAAGTCTAAAAAAGGAGAGGAAAGAGAGAACAATAAATGACACCAGGCAAGGTCAAGTGGAGGCAGAATGTTACCTTGTAAGCTTCAAATAAGAGGTCTTTCTGAGATAGAGGCAAAATATTTAAGGAAACTTGGTATTAGCATTACCAGGTTTTAAATATTACCTTATACACATGCATTTGCATTTTGGGATGGGGCTGTTTGTTTTTGTTTGACCAGTGGCCTACTTGTCTGTACGTCTCATTTTGACATCCAAGGTCTTTCCTAACATGGCTGCACCTTGTCTATCAATCTTGCCTTCCACTAGCTCCCAACACACACCCTCTGCTCCATTCAGACAAGGCTTCTTGCTATCTCTTGTAACACTTTCTGTCTTTTTGCAGTACAGCATGGTGTTAAGAGCATACAATTTGGGGGATCAGGCAGACCATTTGCTCAGCAGGATGAATCTTTGAACCTCCACTTCCTCACTTGCAAAATAGGGTTAATTCCACCTACCTTATAGGGAGCTGTGAGGAATAAACAAAATGATGAATGCAATGTGCTTAGCATAATGCACAGCACAGAAATGCTCAATAAGTAACTATTCTCTGTGCCTTTGTTCATGAAGTTCTCCCTGCCTGGAATCATTTGAGCCTCCCCAAATTCTCCCCATACTTAAAGGCCATACTTTAAGTCCCATCCTCCCTAAAGAACCCTTTCCAGATAATTCTGGTTCATTCTTAACTCTGTGTCTAAAAACTGTTTGTTCTATACCTGTTGCCACAGAATTTTATTTTGCATCACCCTTTGTTTCATTCAGGAATGCTTCTAGGATGTGTGGGGGCCCCCAAACAAATACCTTTTGTGGGGCTCATCTATATACACAATTTGATTCACCTAAAATCAGCATCAACACTATTTCGGTGGTGCAATCTCACATGATACCATCAAAGAAATACCATACCACCCAGCTAGAATGATTTACTGCCAGGCTACCTTTCTGGAATCAAGACTCTGGGGGGACTCCACAGGCATGAGTTCTGAAGCTTCTTGACTCCACATGTAGGGGGGAGGATTAGAGGGTGCTCCAAAGGGGAGAAATGGGGGCTGGGGTCTACATAGGTTCAGTTTGAGATTGAGACTCCTTGCTTAGATGACACTGCAAACCCTGGGCAGTCCCAGACACTGGAGGGGAACTTAGAAAATTTTGAGAAAGGTGCTTCTTATGATCAGAACCCACGTAGGACCTGCTCTGGACTCGGGGCGCCTACCCTGACGGCACTACCTACCTGGACAGTCCTCAGCACTAGAGGGGGACTTAGAAAATATGGAGGCAGGCATTCCAAAGCATGGAGTCCCCTGAGATGCGGGCCCAGGGCAGGGGCCCTGCTTGCCTGGGTCTAAGGGTGATACTGATTTCATTGTTTAAATTTTGTCTCTATATCAAACTGCAAGTTCTTTGAGAGAGGGGAGTGCATTCTACCTCTTTATTTCTCCACCTCTCACTTCCGTCTTCTTCTACAGAATGCACAGTTTGCTGCAAACAGAGAAAGTATTGCATAAGGAGTTCTGACAATATAGGGGCAGTTACTGCAGCAGTAGTGGGTCCCACTTCCAAAAACTTTACCCTGCTCACCACAAAGGACTGAAGGGCAATGCCTGTAAGCATGTCCTCAAGGTGGCTCTGAATCTCTTGGGTGTATCTCTAAGATGTTGAAGGAGGTGGATCTAAACAGTGGGAAGAATCTGTGGTTCCTACAGAAGCAGAACTTCAGGTACAATAGGACCAGTAGGAGAGAGTCTTGTAACTGGGCAGATCGGCAGATGGGTGACACATGGGCATTCCCCAGTGCAAGCCAGCCCAAGAGAACTAGGGCATTCCCCATCCTCCAACATGCTTGTCATGCCGAGATGTCAAGACCCTGGATGTGCTTGAGAAGAAAAAAATTTCTTCAAAGAGGATATTTTATTTTTCTGAAAACAAATTTACTTTTAGCCCTCGCACATCATCTCACTCAACACGCACATACGCTCTCATGTGAGTGAGCGCACGCACACACACACACACACCCCCCTCTCTTCTTCCCTGTAGCTCCACACACTAGTTATATAACCTTGAGGAAGGTTTCTTAATATTTGTGTGCCTCCATTTCCTTTTGGTAAAAGTAGGGATAAATAATGACATTTAGCTCAAAGGATGAAAGGACAGAACAGATATGAAAACATCTGTCATGATAGGTGGTAGTCCTGATAGGTAGGTTTCCTTCTTTCTATTCAAAACATGCATACACACATCAATAAATTCACTTATTCAGGCATTCATCCCACATTCCACCAACATTTGTGACAGCCTCCTATATGTCAGGCTTTATGCAGGTAGGGGCAGGGGGTCCAGGTCTTCCCTTCCATGTTGGAGACCTTAAGGGCCCTGATAGCCTGTGGTCCTATGCTGTAGAATAAGAGCACTGTGGTTGAGAATGCCATTTATGTCTTTGGAAAATTTGATTCCTTGTGCATAAGATTTTGGAAAAATTGGTAACATTATCTCACCCATTTACAAACTGCTAATTTTCAGTAGAAAAAGATCAGATTAGATTGTGTGCCAACTAAACAATCCCATCTATTTTTCTCTCCTACTGAAATGTTTGTCTTTCTTTTATTGTTCTGTCTGCCTCCTCATTGTTATTCATATAGCTCTGTCACTCACAACTCTACCTTACCAGAGATTACAGAAACATCAGTTCATTAAACAAGTTCTGCCACTTCGACTGAGAAAGAAATGCCTGTCTCCATGTACTGTCTACTAATAAATGGAGAAAAACAAAAAACAAATACACAGGATAAATATAAGTCCTGACTGATGTAGTCACTCACCACTCTGCTGTTTGGCATTATTACATTAATATTTTATGAAATTCATTTAAAACCAAATGTATTCACGACATATGGCTAAAGCTAGAGTAGTAGATAAACTCCCTTTCTTCCTTGCATTCAATATGCCAAGAGTTCCATAGGCTCCACTGCCCAGCAGGGCTTGCTAGAGGGCAGGTTGTACATGACATTTCAAAGGCTCCTATCACATTGTTTATTTCTTTTGTTTATTTTTCACCATTAAGCACCAAAGTAGATGTGAATTTCCAAAGCCAACCAAGAAAACAACCATTTGAAATCATGGGCCTTATACAAGTATTAAATAATCTGAAAAACCAAAGAAGTTCAACAATTTAAAACACATTGGGAATAGAACACCAGAGAAATTCTCTCTCTTTTCCAGCCCCTGACCTGGCCTGGGCCTGAGGAGTATACCAACAAGTATGTAGCATTACTCAAACTTCTGAAGAAGATTTGAAATCGTTTTATAAAAGAATTGTGGAAAAGGTCAAGGTATTCCTCCAAAGTCCTTTTCACAATAAATCCCTGTTCTGTTTTGCTTTTACCATCTCTTCTTCTAGCACCCTTTCCCTATGGCCATCTTGACTCTTGGCATAACCATTGGTGGAAATGTTATAAGATGTGGGTTTGTATTGCTTCTTCTGACTCATGTACTTCCCAAAGTCCCAGCTTACTGTAAATCCTGCAATGTTGCATGCTAGTTGGGCCGGCTTGCTCCTCAGAGTTGTAGCTCTACTACATGGTTTCAAGTAATGCTTCAGCGTAGCTTTAAGCCTTCCTACTGCCAGCAACTTGTGCTCACTCAGAGTAGTTACATGGCAATAGTATTATCCTCCATTCTATTCCAACATCTGAGCCAGAGAGTTACATTGGAGGCACATATCGTTTCTATGCTGCCATCCAGTCATCCATATGTCCATCCATTCAATATTTTGATGCCAGCCCCTTTGCCAGGTGTTGGGGTTGAAGAAATGAGTAAGACAAAAATCCTTGACCTCACAGTCTAGTTCAGAAATAGCCACGCAAACAGTTACAATGCTCTACCACCAATTCTCATCGCCAAATTACTTACTGGATGCCTACAATGAGATAGGCACTATGCTAAGCATTTTATATAATCTCATTCCAATAGACCTGTGAGCTAGTTATTGGTATTATCCTTCATTTTATAAAGGAACTGGGGCTCAAGGGTTTAGTTACTTGCCCAAGGTTACACAGCCAGTAACAGGCAGAACTAGGATTCAAATCCAGGTTAGTCTAACTCTAATGCTCTTGACCACTACATTGCCTCTCAATGTAGTATGACAATCGTTTTAACAAATTAATTTAATTGTAGGTATAAGTTGAAGCAAGTATGGTGAAAAACATGGCAGATGAACAACAAAATGCTTCCATACAATTCTTTTTTCCTAGTGTGGCAGATTAAAGGTGGATACAAATTCTTTGACACTCCTCTCACCAAGAAATGAGGTCTACGGGCTGGCCCAGTGGCACAGTGGTTAAGTTTGCATGTTCTGCTTCAGTGGCCCAGGGTGTGCCGGTTCAGATCCTGGGTGCAGACCTATGCACCACTTGGCAAGGCATGCTGTGGCAGGCGTCCCACGTATAAAGTGGAGGAAGATGGGCACGGATGTTAGCTCAGGGCCAGTCTTCCTCAGCAAAAAGAGGAGGATTGGTGGTGGATGTTAGCTCAGGGCTAATCTTCCTCAAAAAAAGAAATGAGTTCTATGTCCTCCTTCCCTTTTGAATCTGGACAGGCTCTACAACTGCTTTGACCAATAGAATATGACAGAAGGGATGTTGTGCCTGTTTTTAGGCTCAGGCCTTAAGAGAAATACAATTCCCACTTCTTGTTTCCAGGAACATGTGCTATGGGAGCTCTGAATAACCATATAACACGTCCAACTACTGTGATGGAGAGACCACGTGGGGATGGTCTTAGAGTAAATGGAATGGGAAGGATCCAGCTGAATCCACCGTTTTTATCTGTCCCTGCCAAAATGCCGTGTGTATGAGTAAAGTTGTCTTGGAACCTCCAGACTAGCCTGCCACAGCTGAGGCATCCCTGTTGATATCATACGGAACAGAAGAATTAGCCATCTGAGTCCTGCCAAAATTCTTGATCCAGAAA